TGGGCCAGATCTAAACACCCCGTGGGCCAGATGTAAACACCCCGTGGGCCAGATGTAAACACCCCGTGGGCCAGATCTAAACACCCCGTGGGCCAGATCTAAACACCCCGTGGGTCAGTTCTAAACATCTCATGGGCCAGATGCGGTCTGCAGGCTTTGAGTTCGACACCCCTGCATTAGAAATACACTTGCAGGATAAAATTCAGCTGGACAGGTCAGGTGGAGTAACTTCTCAAGCCCTTTCCATCAAAGAAATATATCACTGAGGACCATGAGGCAGGCGAGATTTTATGAACTGAAATCACTTCTTCGTTGCTACGGTTATCTAGATTGTGACTCACCCGTCTTTCCTTATCCCCATATTCTATGCCCAGCGTGTCCATGGCACGGACAATAGCTGCCAAAGATTGAATAGTGTTGCTATAGATCACAGGCTTGTACTGCTTCACGTCTTCTCCGGAAAAGCCATCTTCATGGATGATCCTTGGTAGGGAGAAAACAAAGAGCTTGTTTAGGAGGGAGGAAGAGAAAGCGTCATCAAAAATAAAATGGGTTTCCTTGGAGCCTTATATGAATGTTGTGCAGAACCAGCCCCAAACTGACCCTTTTTAACTGATTCCAAAATTTACTTCTGCAATTTCTTGGGAAGGAGAGGAGATGAGAGGAGAAAAGAGAAGAAACCTCATAGGTGAAGAAATGTATCTTTATATGAAAACATTTGTGTACGATTATTTTTATTAATTACATAGATTTATACCCAAAGGCAGGACAAACAGCAATGGAAGGAAACTAATCAAGCAACTTAGAACTAAGGAGAAATTTCCTGACAGTGAGAGCAATACATCAGTGGAACGAATGGGTGCTCCATCACAGGAGGTTTCCTGCTTGAACAGGGGGTTGGACTAGAAGACCTCCAAGGTCCCTTCCAACTCTGTTATTCTGTGATATACTGCTTCAATCTTTCGAGTCCAAGAAACTTACACAATCCAAATGCAGTATTTAAGGTTCATATATTTAAAAAAAATAAAATAAAAACAAATAAAATATAAAAATAATAATTGAAAAATAATAAATTAATCAGTTAAAAAGGAAACAAAAAACCCCAAATAAACTCAAAGGGTAGACTTGATCGACTACTCTACTAGGTCTTTTTCTGCTGTCAGTTTTCTATATTTCTAGGTTTCTATAATATTACCCCAAACAAACCCCAACTAATGATAATCTCAACAAGTCACACCCACAATAATCAGTCTTTCATTGTTTCTGCACTGACCAGTGTTTTCTCAACCTGGACAATTCTAAGAGGTGTGGACTCCAACTCCCAGAATTCCCTGTCCACCATGGGAGTTGAAGTCCACACCTCTTAAAGATGTCAAAGCTAAGAAACACTAGTTCTCTCATTGACTGGTTCCTTATCATTTCCCCCATTTCTTCCTCAGCCTCCTCAAAGCCTCCCACGCAAAAGGGGTTCACAAATAAAATTATCGTGGATAGAATGTGGCCCACTTATTTCATTATGGCGTGGCTAAGGATGCGCACAAATGTTCTGTTTTCAACAACAACCTCCTCCTCCTCCTCTTTGTGCTCTACAACGTCTCTTGCTCCTTTGGATTTTCCTGAAGCCAAGGGAGATACCAGAAGGGAAGATCTCCAGTGGGTATTTTTGAAAATAAAAAAATAAAAAAAGCAGCGTGAGCAGCCACACAAGTTGCAAAGTGACCCAAAGAAGTCCAGTAGAAAACACAAAGGTTACGGTTGCCCCATCCACCATTTCCAGTGACCCATTGGGGCAAAAAAAATCGGAAGCAATCTTTGAGCCCTCCTCATCCGAAAAGGACATTGGTTCCCTTATAAGTTAGTTAGTTGATTTGTTCACAAGACTTATTTGGCTCCCTAGGAGCACGGAGGCTCGAGTGTGTTGGAACGCTGGGCAGGAGGTGAGGAAACCCATGTTCGAAACCCAAGAGCTGCCATGGGGCGGGGTTGAGCTCTTGTCCTTTCCTCCAGCTCTTGATGGGGACATGAAGGTAAAAGTAAAGGTTCCCCTCGCACATACGTGCTAGTCGTTTCTGGCTCTAGGGGGCAGTGCTCATCTCCGTTACAAAGCCGAAGAACCAGCACTGTCCAAAGATGTCTCCATGGTTATGTGGCCGGCATGACTAAACGCCAAAGGCGCACGGAACGCTGTTACCTTCCCGCTAAAGGCATCCCTATTTTTCTACTTGCATTTTTTACGTGCTTTCGAACTGCTAGGTTGGCAGAAGCTAGGGCAAAGAACGGGAACTTACTCCGTTATGCAGCGCTAGGGATTCAAACCACCAAACTGCCGACCTTTCTGATCGACAAGCTCAGAGTCTTAGCCTCTGAGCCACCGTGTCCCTTGGGGACATGAAAGGATCCCCCAAAGGGGGACTATACCCAGGATTAGTTGGTGACATCATACCCAGGGTGACAGTGATGTCACCGGCTAATCCTTTCAACCCAGAAGCACTCCCTATCTCATACACAATAACTCTGGTCCATCATAGGATTCGGGCTAGCTCCGTCAAAGCAACCTAAGATGGCTCTGAAGTCTGACATTCACCAGGCATGTGCCAACTGCAGACTCCCAAATTCTCAACCATTAGGGTCCCCCACCTGTTTGCAGAAACATCTGCACTGCAGTCATTAGGGACAGTCTCCCCTGGACATTCAGAAAGACCAACTGGCCAACTGCAAAGAAAGCGGGGAGGGACAACTACGTCCCATCTCTGCTCTTTCTTGCTATGTTGTTTATCTCTCTTCCTCCTGCTTCTCCTTGCTCCTCAGGGCCTCTGATCCTCCTCTGCCCAACCCTTAGGGGAAATTAGCAGCTAAAGGAGAGAGGTAATAAGCATTGATAAACAATCAGTGTGGCTCCAGATCCCATGATATTTTGCCAGCTTTTCTCTAGAGGAACTCAAAGACTTCATAACAGTTGAAGGTGGACAGAAAGCAGAGCTGGCATCAAAGGCGTTCAGTACAGAAATAAAAATAAAGGCTTGGAGCTCCTGGTTAGGAATTCCTCAGGAAAAAAATATACACATAAATGATTAAGAGGTATTATTTCTCACCTTTGGTACATAAAACTTTATGGGAAGGGGAGGTGCCTTTTCAGGCAGCTGGTAGACAATAATCCATGTGTAATAATGATTTTAAAAAAATTAAGCATGGCTCAAATCTCAAGAGATTTCACATTTGGTGAGAATTTGGCAAACTCGCCTCTCAGCTGTCCTGTAATAACACTGGAATCTCCTGAGATCTGGTGATAGTCTGAGATTTGGGTCATTAAATATTAAAATAGATTTTTCACAGAACATCAGAACACACATTGATGCTCTGCAATTGACTGGTACAGGTATTGGTAACAAGGGCTTTGCAAGGAAAGGTCCAGAAAGTAAGATGGAGGTTGCAGTTGGGGGATTGAAGCTGCATTGCTTTTTTATCTGTGTTGCACGAACATCCTTGCTTAGCTGAGCTAGTAGGAACAAAAGAAAGGGAAAGAGGGAGGGAGGGGAGAAAACAGAGGAGGAGAGGAAGGAATGAAGGAAGGAGCGAGGGAGGGAGGGAGGGAGAGAAGAAGGGACGGAGGAAGAAAGGAAGGGAGGGAGGATGGAAGGAAGGAAGGGAGGGGGAGGGAGGAAAAAAGGAAGGAGATAAGAAGAAGGAAGGAAGGAGAGAGGGAAAGAGGGAGAGAGGGAAGGACGGAGGAAGGAAGGAATGGAGGGAGGATGGAAGGAAGGAAGGGAGGGGGAGGGAGGGAGGAAAAAAGGAAGGAGATAAGAAGGAAGGAAGGAGAGAAGAAAGGAGGGAGAGAGGGAGGGATGGAGGAAGGAAGGAATGGAGGGAGGAGGGAGGGAGGGAGGGAAGAGTGGGAGGGAGGGACAGAGGAAGGAAGGAAATCTCCCAGTTGTTCCAGAAAGGAGTTTTAAAGGCAAAATCCCTTTGCACCTTCACTGGTCTAATTAAGTGTGGTGTGGGAATCCAGCTAGGAATTCAGCATGGTTTCTTGCTAGCAAGAGGAATAAGGCTGCCGGTGACGCAAATTTCTCTCCGCCTTGAGCAGATTGTCATACACTATAACAGCTTTGGATGCAATAGACCTATTTATTATTAGCAGAACCTTGTCCAGAAAAAAAATCTCAAATGTGTGATTCCACAAAACATGGCTATCCAATTTCTAGTCCTCAGACATCAAGATATGAAAAAAATGCACATTTGAAACAGGCCATTGTGCTGGATATATAGAAGAAAGATGCATTTTTTATTTCTCACAAATTCTGGAACAAATATTTGCTTTTTAGAAAAGCATAGAAATACCCCTTAGATTTCCTGAACTGTCTTAACATTCATTCAAAGATCATGATGAAATTGTTGAGTTCCTTGCTTCCTTTTTTCCATCCTTCCACCCTCCCTCCCTCCTTCCTTTTCTTCCCATATCGCTCCTTCCTTCCTTCCTTTTCTTCCCATCTCCCTCCTCCTTCCTTCCTTCCTTCCTTCCTTCCTTCTTTCCTTCCTTCCTTCCTTCCTTCTAAGCAGGGTACTCAATAATATGGTATGATTAATTTCTTTTATTTGTTATTCAGTTCTGTATGTATTGTGTATACCTCAATTTGCACTTTAAAAATGTAAATCAATTCTGCATTAGACATAACCTGTGTGTGTTTGTGTGCGTGTGTGTGGTGTTTAGAATGCACACACATTTCAAACAGGCTCTTTGCTGTGTGTGTTGCCATCCAAATCAATTCTTCCAATTCTTTAGCCCAATGTTTAATTTCCCGTATGTCATCTGAGTGAAGGCGGGAAACATTGGGCAGAGCTGATGAACTCTGGGGTATTAACCAAACCCAAAACAGAGCAAAAATCCTCTTTCTATCCTCACCCCAACCTTGCAAAAATAAGAGAGAGAAAAAAAACATCGGGCTGAGCAGAACAGCGGGATCATCCCTTCGGATAAACTGGATAAACCTTTTTACAGCTTGCAAACACCCTAGGAGGGTCGAGGCAATAAGTTTGCTTTGGCCCTGGAGGCAAATTGTGTAGCTATAAATCACACTGTGGCTTCTTCTGCCTTATTTTCCATTTTCTTTTTGAAATAAAACAACAACAACAACAACAACAACAACAACAACAACAACCACAGGATTTGGTCAGGTGAAGCCAGTTGTAGCAGCAACTTGGACTCATTGGCAATTTTTCATTTAAAGGAGGAAACAGTTGGATTGCAGGAGGCAACTACAAGTTGGTACAAACAGGAGGCGGTATCTGGGCCTGCAACCACCCCATGGGGGAATGAAGCAAAACAAATCCATGCACAGGCTTTGGGGAGAGGGAGGAGACATGGGCACCAAGATCGGTGAATTCCTATCATGAAGCACACGTTAAGGTTTGTGGCGTCCTTGATGTTTTCTGAGCTTGGTGGTTTCCTTGAAGATATTTCATTACCAGAGGAGGAGGAGGAGGAA